GATGAGTGAGTGCCTCCTGTGCCGCTTCACTTTCTTGAAAGAGTCCAATTTTGATTCCATCAATTCCTGGTGGCTTGTTCTTTGCCAATTCCTTCAGTGCACCTTGGACTTCCTCCCTGAGTATCATTGGCTCTTGATCATATGCTACCTCTTGAAATGGTTGAACATTAACCATTTCCTTTTGGTACAGTGCCTCTGTGTATTCCTTCCATCTTCTCTTGATGCATTCTGCATCCTTCAATAATTTTCCCAGAGAATCTTTCAATAACGAAAGTCAAGGCTTGAATTTTTTCTTCAGATCCCCCAGCTTGAGAAATGCTGAGCGTGTTCTTTCCTTTTGGTTTTCTGATTCCAGATCTTTGCACATTTTATACACTTGGAATGGATGAATTTTAGAGTACGTATAAACTAGTCTAAGGATATATTCATTAGGTTTACTTCTGTGTTCTTCCAGATATTTTATAATTTTCTCCATAAAGATCTTGCTTGATTTTGCTTTAAGAGACTTTAGATATTCTTAGATTGTTTTGGGTTCTTTCTACTACATTTAATGATAATTCTTTTTCTGTTACATTTGTAATTGACTATTTCTAATGTATAAATATGTTTTCTATTTTAATATCTTGGCCCTACATGCAGCAGGCCTGTTGAAATGTATTCATTCTAAGGGTATTTTTATATATGCTCTTGGCTTTTCTATGTATGTGCAGATGGTAAAGTTGCCTAAGTTTTTTTTTTGTTTTTTTTTTGTCTCTTCCTAATTCTTTTATTTATGACTTGTTTTATTCTATTTTGACTAAGACCTTTTTTTGTTATGTTGAATGATTGTAGCAGTGTCTTTTTCTTGCAGAATTTATTTGCCAAGTTAAAGCTGTTCTTTCCGTTTGAAATTTGGTGCAGTGTTTTATTAGTTCTAAGGTGGTCATTGTTATCCAGTGCTTGAGCCTCCTATTTCTCTGTTTTCCATATACTCTTACAGGCACAGGGTAAGCTTTCTTACTGAATGCCTGGGTCATCAGATAGAGCTTTTTTTGGTCCTGTTTTTACAAATGGAGTAGCTCTTCCTAGCTTGAGACTTTATGTAGGTAACTCATTGCATTGGATACTATGGTCCAGAATTAAAATTGATCCCATGTCCGTGTCATAGCTGCACACACTGCTAATGACCATTACTTCTTTGTCTGTAGCTTCCATTCTTTTTTAAGTTTGTTTCACTTGAGCATATTTCATTTCTGGCTTTGAAGTTAGTTATTTAAATTTTTTTTTCCTAGCATTTTTATGTATTTGAATTAGAAGTGGGAAAAGGATGGTTTCCCACTTTAGTTCAAAGCCTAAAATTCCACATACCTAGTTTACTTAAAATGTTTTATTCTAATTGTAATATATTTATGATATTTTTTACCAACACTGTCCAGGAGAACTTTTTGCAGTGATGGTTATCTGTGTTGTTTAATATGATAGCCAAGGTCAGTTTGAACTGCAAGGCTGGTGGTTCAAGTCCATCATCGCTTCACAGGAGAAAGATGAGGCTTTCTGCTTTGGCAAATAATTTACAGTCTTGGAAACTATATATAGGGTAGGGTGACTGTCGGAACTGACTTGGCAGCACTTGACAACAACATAGAAATCCCTGAGAATGTGATAATTAAAGTTATGCTTTGGTGGCTCATTGGGATAGTTGAGTATATTTACAGAATCTAGAGGTGTCAGACTTCTGCAGTCATGTATTGTCCTATGGCAAGGAATAATATTAGTAACAAGCTGTAATAAAGGCTCAGTGATTGATGTTTTTATAATGTTGTAGGCAACTCCTACCAAAGGAAAAACAAACAAAAGAAAGGAAAAGAGTAAAAGTTTGTATAATTAACAGAATTTGCCATCTAGAATTTCAAAGGCTATTAAGTTGCATCATATTACAGATAAAGAAACTCATCCATATAACATGTGTGTGTGTATCATGTCATTTAGCACACACACAAAGCATTTAAGTTGTGCCCAGTTAAATTACCAAGTAACAATAATGCTGAGACCAGGATCTGAGTCTTTCAAATCCCAGTCTGGGCTTTTTTCTGTCTGCTTTACTTCTCTGTGTGTATCTCAATATTTCTTTAGATGTATAGAAAAAAACAATAAGTTTTAAAAATAAAACTTTGTACATAAACATTAGCAGTCTATAAGGTGAATGTTAATTGTATTTTTCAGTAGCTAAGTTATACAAGATTTTCATGTTTCAAATTGAAGCGTTATTAAATCATAATGAGTAGATCAGATTATGCATAAATTAATCTTAAAAAATAACATAGTTTTCAAACCATTTAATTCACTTTAATATTCTTCATAAAAATTTTCAAGGGAAATACTCAGAGCTCAAGTAACATAGTGTTTGGTAAAAAGTGAATGTGTTTTAAGCATTCCCATTAACTTTGTCTCTATTTCTTTTTAGATTCCTGCCGTAAACCCTATGTTGCACTTATTCATGGAATTACAATGGGTGGAGTAAGTAGACTGTTTTTATTCTCATCATTGATAATAAGTGAGTTGTATTTTAAACGACAATTAACTCGTAAACATAAGTGAGGAGATGAGTGTAATACAATAGAGCATTAGGTATTCTTACAGAATTCGTTGAAACAAAATCAACATGGATTTTGGATCCTTGCAGATTTGGGATATGATATTTGCTTGTAGCACTTTTAGACTATGTCAACTGAAAAGAATATTTTGTTATTAATTATGTTATATACTGAAAAACTCCTAGTAAGCTTTTTTTACCCAACAGACTTGTTTGAATTTTTTAAATTATTATTAATATGCAGAACTCTTTTCTACTTAATCATGAACTAATTGCCTCCAACTTCTTCAAAAAAGAAATTGAAATGTTGAGTTTTTTCTTAGACTCTGAACACTGGGAATGTGGCTGTGTAAATTGATCTTATTGCAAATGGTGTTACTGATAAAGGAAGAGTTATAAAAACTTGGAGTAACCTTATAACAGGGAATTGCCATTTTCAGAATTCCATTTCTTCTGAGTTTTAGCCAGTATTTTATCAATACAACACTATTTTGATCTTGTAGCTTTATAGTAAGTCTTGAAATGGGTAGCTTCCCAACTTTTTTCTGCACTATTGTGTTGGCTGCCCTGGGTCTTTTGTCTTTGCTATAAACCAGTCCCTGGAGAAGGATATCATGCTTGGTAAAGTGAAAAAGCAGAAGACCCTCAACAAGATGGATTGACACAGTGGCAGTAACCATGGGCTCAGATGTAGCAGTTGAGAGAAGGGGAAGGACTGGGCAGTGCTTTGTTCTGTTGTGCATAGATAGATTCGCTATGAGTCAGAACCAACTTGACAGCACCAACCAACAGCTACAGCAACAAATAGACTTTAAAATCAGCTTGCTGAAAATCCATAAAATCTGTTCCCAGGATTTTCACTGGGATTGCATTGAATCCTTAGATCAAATTGGGAAGAATTAAATTAGCATCTTAGTCTTCCTGTCCATAGGAAGGAATAAAGATGATTTTTGTTCCCACAAAGATTTACAAGCCTCAGAAACCCTTTACAGAGTGGCTATGAGTCACAACAATGCTACAGAACTTAACAACAGTGTATAAGGAGCTCTGGTAGCCCAGTGGGCTGCTGACCATAAAGCTGGCAGTTTGAACCCCCATCTGCTTTGTGGGGAAAATGATGAGGCAATCTGCGTCTGTAAAGATTTACAGCCTCAGAAACCCTAGGGAGCAGTTCTGTTCTGTCCTAGGGTTGCTGTGAGTCAGAATTGACTGGACAGCAGTAGGTGTGAATATTGGATAGCCTACCATTGTGTAGATACATAAATCTTGCACCTGCTGCTGCTGCTGCTGCTGTAGAGCTGGCCATTGACTTACCATGAGCCCATGCATAGGGAGTGCAATGTTGCCTGGTCCCGCTTCCTCCCCATGATTGGATGCAATGGGACCCTTGTTGATTTATAGGTTTTCATAGGCTAATGCTTGGAAGGAGGTTGCTAGACCTTTCTTCATAGTCTGTCTTAGTCTGGAACTGTTGCTAAAATTTGTCCAGCATAATAGCAACACACAACCCTTCACTGACAGGCAGATGGTGGTTGTACATTTGCTGGGAATTGAACCCAGTTGCCCTTGGACATGGCAGGGGGTTAGAATTCTACCACCTCTCCACCATTATTACTACCTCTCACATGGAAGGAGAAATTTCTACCACAGAGCCATTGCTGTCCCCAGTATCATTTGAAAGTCTTGTTAAAACAGATTTGTCCATCTCAAGTGTTCCCAGATGCTGCTGCTGGTTAGTGGTGGCACTCAAAGAACCACTACTACAATATGTTGAAAACTTACAGTTTGTTATGCAAAAGATCTTTGTTATAATTCAACATATTTCAATCCTGAAATGGCAGTGTGAGAATAAAGTAGGGCAGTTATAGCTTAAGAAACATATATCGATGGTAATTACCTATCTTTAACTTGACTTTGATCAATAAATTATTTATTGTGTAGAACTGTGTTCCATAGAGTGTTTCAGGGACTGATTTTCTTTGGAAGCAGATTGCCAGGTCATTCTTCTGAGGTGCCCGTGGGTGTATTCAAACCTCTAGCCTTTTGTTCAGCAGCAGAGCCTGTTAACTGTTTACACCATCCAAGGCCTCTTGTAATAAGATTTCTGTTTAAGAAAATGTTAACTGTCCAAGAGATGGCGCCATAGAGCTTGATTATTTTTTTTCCTGCTCTCCTATTGCAAAGCAGTATTTTTTATTAACATGAAAAGCAACAGTTTTAGTGTCTCTTGTTATCCACCATAAAGAGTAGCACAGAATTTTACAGAGGAGGTAACTGAATTCTAATGTTTCAGAGATTGAAAATGTACTCAATGTTTCAGTATACAGTAAAATAAAAATAAATGATACAGTAATTATCTACTTTGTTGTTGTGTGGCTAAGTGCCGTCAGTCAGTTCTGACTCCATAGCAACCTTGTTTAGGGTTTCCAAGGAGCAGCTTGTAGGTTTGAACTGCCGACCCTGTGGTTCACAGTCTAGTGCTGATCCTACAGTGCCACACCAGGAGTCTGATGACCTACTTGATTCATCAAAATTATGTTGTTGTTGTTGTTGTTAAGTGCCATCGAGTCGGGTCCGACCCATAGCGACCCTGTACAGGGTTTCCGAGGGTGTAAATCTTTACGGGAGTAGAAAGCCTCATCTTTCTCCCGCGGAGCGGCTGGTAGTTTCGAACCACTGACCTTAAGGTTCGCAGCCCGATTCGTAACCACTACGCTACCAGAGCTCCTTCAAAATTATGTTAAATTATATCATTCTAGTTTTTCTGACAGAGCTAATTATTTTATGAATAGAAATTTGAAAGAATAGTTCTGCCTGAAATTAAAATTTAATACTGTTGCCTTTTTTAAAAAATGTTTTATTGTGAATTATGTGGTAGCTTACATGGGAGAACATTAGCTTTACATTAATCCTGTTATATATCGTTTCATTGCCATGGTTGCAATCCCCTCCATAGATCATCAACCAACCAAGGAGTATACCCTGGCAACCCCGGTTGCCAGCACGCAGCCCCTCTCCCGCTCTGGATCTAAAGTCCCCAGCTGCTCCATTTCTCCACATCATCGTCTCTGCCTCCATCTCTGGCATCACTGCTTCTCTGGGTAGGGTCCTGCTCTCCACTCTTCTCCTTGATGGTCTCAGGGACCTCCACTCCTAGACTCCTTTTGCTACAAAACATCTACCTTTACGTTTCCAACCCTCACAGTCAGTCCTGATAACATTTACTCACTATTGTTCACAAGAAACCTATCCCCATCTCCTTTCATCAGCCCCGCCCACACAGATTGGATACTACTCAGTGGAGATTCTACCTTCCTCTGTGCCCTTTGGATCTAGACTCCCTCTTGAAAGCTTGTAAGCCAGTCACTTCTTG